TGGCATAACATGTGCATTATGTGAGTATGCACGATTGGCATGAGCATGTGATCGCCTAAATCGCCCTGAGGCGTCGTTTACGCGGGGTTCAGATAATAATCGGTGGATTGCGCTTGTGTGATCACATAAACCCTGAGGCGTCGTTTACGCGGGGTAATGAACCCGTCCTGAGGCGTTTAACGCAGGACGATGCCCGGATTACCGGAAGATGGCCAACCTGAAGTGTCCCACACGTGGGTTGTGTCATGAGCCTGATGCGTTTAACGCGGGCCGGAGATTGATCGATAAGTGATAAACCTGATGCGTTTTACGCGGGTCGGACCTGATGCGTTTTACGCGGGTCGGTGGAAAATGGAAAGTTGGCATGTGTGCAAGTGTGCATTGAATTGTGCAAGCGTGCATTGAATTGTGCAAGCATGAGCATGATATTGGCAAGTGTGCGAAGAGTGCATTTTCGAGTGCAAACATGTGCATGGCATGTGTTCGTGCCCAATTGATATATGTAGTGTGTATGTACCATTGTTTGGCTCAGTGCCATTATTGTTATGTGCCTAATCTGCAGGGTCACTATATGCTTGATTTGGGCCCGAGGACCTAAGTCGTGTGATTGAATAACTGTGTGTTTAGTTGATGCTTGTCCGGGAGGTGCATGTTAGCCTAGTTTCGGTTTAGGGGGCCTACTCGCTGAGATTTATTCTCATTGTTGTTTAAACCCCACTTTTCAGACCCCCGACCTTGAGATGGTGGATGCGCCACTCCGTTTTGGGATCCCGTATCGCATAGAGCGATCGGTGACCGAGCACCCCGTAGGGAACGAGGAGTCTTATATTAGGCATTTCATTGTAGTTTGGGTCGATGAGGGCGGGCCGCATTTCCGGGCCCATCCTTACCTCGCTTGGTGTTTCCGGGACCAGTTCGGTACGCATGGACCTCTTTGGTCCTTCGACATCCCATTCAAGATATATGGCCAGCCGGATCCGCAGGCCGCTGATGGAGAAGTCATGAGTCCCGTTGCCACGTCCGAGGAGGATTCCGGCGCCCGACCTGTCATCATCGAGATGGATACCGAGTCCGAGGGAGAGGAGCCGATGGACTGGGAGTCCGACATCGAGCCGGAGCCAGAGCCTATGGAGCAGGAGCTAGAGCCGGAGGATTATTCTGGGGTAGAGTAAGTGGACGCCGAGTCTGAGCCGGATTCGATGGATTCTGAGCCTGAGTCGTCTGATGACTCGACTGAGTCCTCAGGATCCAACTCGGACTGGTTGCCCTAGGATTTATCCTCGACTAGAGTAGGGTAGGGCCAACACTTTTTGGATAGGTGCCTTTCTTAGGTTTAGTACCCTGACCCCGAGCCACATACTCATTTTTTATGTCAGTGGCTGTTGACCCATTTTGGTTTATATGTGTAGTTCTTTTGCAATGGATATTGTAAATCCCTGTTGTTAATGCAAGTATGTATTTATGATGGTTGTTGTTCGATGGCTATCCTTGGTCACGTGTTTTATTGTTCAGGTGAAATATTGCTTCCGCTTGTGCACTGCTCTCTGTTTGGGTTTTGGGTCGGCGACACGTCCTGGGACGTCGCAATGAATAGACCTCGGTAGGGATGATCGCGAGCCCGTAAGGTTCGGGGCGTGACAAAGGACCTCGGACCTCTTTCTCATTTTCTTGATATTCAGATAACACGTAATTTCGAAGGCGTACAACTCAATCAGTCTAAGTATATTATAGATGATCTGAAGTGTGAAAATATGGACGGATGTAAACCAATTCTAATGCCTATTGTGTCTCAAAAACTTGGCCACGGTGATGGCTCTCCAATGTTTGATCTCACTCTTTATCAAAGTCTTGTTGGAGCACTGCAGTATGTTACTCTAACGCGTACTGACATTTCTTTTGTCATCAATCAAGTTTGCCAGTTTTTAAAGTCTCCCGCCAAGGATCATCTTATGGCGGTCAAATGCATTTTGTGTTATTTGAAAGGCATAATCACTCACAATGTTCACTTTCGTCCAGTCCAAAATCAGTTCACTGCTTAGTACGATACTGACTAGGCAAGCTGCTCCATTGATTGATGCTCTACTAGTTTGTTCTGTGTTTTCTTCGGTTCCAATTCCATTTCCTAGAGTGCTAAGAAACAACCACGGTGGCACGTTCTTCATTTGACACTATGTACCAGTGTCTAGCTCGCACTACAGCTGAATTAGTTTGGCTACGCTCCTTGTTACGTGAAGTGCATTGCCCATCTCTTATGTCACCCACCATTTGGTGTGATAACATTTCCACAATCTCTCTCGCCTAAAATCTAGTTTTCCATTCAAGAACGAAAAATGTCGCTATTGATTTTCATTATGTTAAGGACCTAGTTGAGCGTAAGATTCTCACTGTTTAGTTCATCTCCAGCAAAGATCAAATTGCATATATGTTCACAAAAGATCTGAGTTCTAATCGCGTCAGATTTTTGCAGACCAAGCTTCACTTTTAGCCAACCGTACTCAGCTTGCGAGGGGATGATAACATATCGTCCTAAAATCCAACAACTTGATCTCTTCCACCTTTTTCAAAAAATTAAATTCAAATTCAAATTTTTTTAATTTAAAATTCTTTCCTCAATTTAAGGAATCAATTTTCCCTCATCATATCTATTTAAACTCATTTTATACAACAATAGAAGCAATGGAAAATAAAAAGGGTTAATATCACGAAAAATCCCAAACTGTTACACTTATGACAAATTTACCCCAAACTAATTTTTTTACCATAATAAACCCTAAACCAGTATATATGTGACAAATTTACCCTAAACTAATTTTTTTATCACAAAAAATCGCAAACTGATACATTTGTGACAAATTTACCCTCCGTTAGTTTCATACCATGAATAACCAAAAATCGGGACACCTGTGATAAACGGAGGGTAAAATTCAAAGTTAGTATGCTCGTCAACTGCAAAGTGTCATCCAACTCAGCAATTTATCGGTAAAATTTAACGGAAACTAACAGAGGGTAAATTTGTCACGGGTGTACCAGTTTGTGATTTTTTGTGGTCAAAAATTAAATTTGGGGTAAATTTGTCACGGGTGTACCAATTTGGGATTTTTTGTGGCATTAACTTAAATAAAAAATTCAAAGCTTCCTCTACTTTCTTTAATTTTTGGATGTGCAAGTTAGAAAGTAAAGCTTAATTAAGCACTAAAAAAAATTTTAGTTAGTGAAACAAATAAACATAATGTTTTAATTGGCATATACGTTGCCACTCCATAAGTAAAATATATGTTGATACCTACCCTAATTTGGACAAAACAATAAAAGGAAAGAAAGAAAACAAGAAAACGTGCCCAACAATATTATTTGGAAAAAAATCACCAAAAACCCCAAATTATGCCAATTGTGACACATTTACCCAAAACTATTTTTTGTGACACCAAAAATCCCAAAGTATACATATTGTGACATATCTACCATCCGTTACAATTCCGTCCAAAATTACCATTAAAAAGCTGACGTGAATCCCACGTGGCACTATTAGAGACACGTGACTCTGATGTGGCGCCACGCGAGCGCCACACTGAAAAAAATAAAAAAAAATTGCACTGTTCATCATCTTCTCCACAACTTTGCGAGTACTGTTAATGGCGTTCATCATCTTCAATCGCTTGGCCAAACTCCTCCGACGATCTTGCTTCGCTGGCCACTGCTCCTTGGACCTCAAGCAGCTCTTGTCGGCGCTTGCCCGTCCATCCACCAGCTTCGAAGATCGAGGTTCAAGCCAAGCTTCTAGCTCAAGCAGTCATGGCGGCCGCGAGCATTGAAGATTGACCTTCAAGCCAAGCTTCGAAGCTTGGCCTTCGAAAAAGGAAAAAAAAAATACTGTTGATCGTCTTCTCCGCAAGGAAGAACAGTACTTTCTTGTCCCAAAAACGAAGTTTCAAGAAGGTCGAGCTTGATCGGCCGCCATGGCCTCTCCAGCTCGAAGCTTGGCTTGTCTGACCTCGACCTTCAAGGCTCACAAGTGGTAGCCACTATGGCCAAGCTTTGAAGCTCACGGCTGCCATGACCGCTCTAGCTCGAAGCTTGGCTTGAGGGTCTAACCTTGACCTTCAAAGCTCGCGGATAGTCGCAAGCCGCCAAGGCCAAGCTTCGAAGCAGCTTGAAGGTCGAGCTTCAAAGCTCGCGGGTGGTCGCAAGACGCCATGGCCAAGCTTCGAAGCTCGCGACCACCGTGACTGCTCCAGCTCGAAGCTTGGCTTGAGGTCTGACCTTGACCTTCGAAGATCGCGGGTGGTCGCAAGCGGCCAAGGCCAAGCTTTGAAGCTTGGCTTGAAGGTCAAGCCTCAAGGCTCACGGGCGCCATGGCCACTTGAGCTCAAAGCTCGGCTTGAACCTCGATCTTCGAAACGGGTGGATGGTCGGGCAAGTGCCGACAAGAGCCACTGGAGGTCTAGGTAGCAGTGGCTAGTGAAGCAAGAGCATCGGAGGAGTTTGGCCAAGCGATTGAAGACGATGAACGCCATGAACAGTACTCACGAAGTTGTGGAGAAGACGATGAACAGTCCAATTTTTTTATTTTTCCAATGTGGCGCTCACGTGGTGCCACATCAAACCACGTGTCTCTAAAAGTGTCACGTGAGATCCACGTCAGCTTTTTAACGGTGATTTTGAACGGAATTGTAACGGAGGTTAGATGCATCAAAATGTGTAATTTGAAGTTTTTTATGTGACAAAAAATAATTTGAGTTAAATGTGTCGTAATGGTATACTTTTGGGTTTTTTTGTGGTTTTTTTCCATTTTGTTTTTATGAAAGTAATTAGATAGACGGATTTGGTGAGCTTAGCGTGAAGTAAATTTGAGAACTTTAGCAACATCACGTCAGGCTCCTCGTTTGTCGTAATTATTCTAATAAAATATCACTACATAGGAATTAACTCCCTCCATTGTAGGTACGTTATCAATAAAGTCCATGTATTATGTACGTTATCGTTCGTACGTACGACGTCTACCATACCTATTAGCTACAACACCCGCGCCGGAGCCGGTCTAACCTGAAGACTTCCATTTTCGAGTGCAGTTACAGTCAGCACGACTTCTTCGCGCTTGAGATGCTTCTCCGCAGTCCTGAAGCCGGCGAGGGACGCGAGCTCACTGACGGACTCGGCAATCTTGTCCGTGCAGTCGATGATGTCGATGAGAAGCGAGCTGACGGTGGCGGCGTGGACAATGTCAAGGAGGTCAGTCGCATCCTCCCAGGAGGTCGTCTTGAGCAGCGACTTGAGGGCTTTTGCGGCGGCTCGGGACTTCTCGAGGTGGGGAGTCGCGGAGGACGGTGCGGTCATCGTCTTGAGGGAAGATGAGAGTTGCTTCAAAGCTCTTGCGGCTTCCATGCTCATCTCTACGCAGAGCTCTTTGAGCCTGGTTTGAACTTGTGGTGGCGCCTGAAAATGACGAGATTGTGATCACGTTATTACTATTGATATATCAATTTCAGTAAATAAAGTCTATGATTGCTTCGAGGTTAGTTCTGAACGCCGCGTAACATGTTGCAAATTTTATGTAGATTTCATAGAAAAATTACAAAAGGGTGTTCAAATATAGTCATTCATTATTTAAAAAAAGTGTTATCATTGCAATTAATCAGTATGCCGATTTTATATACAACACCATAATATGTTTAACATTACCCTTTCTAACAATATTAAGTATTTTGCATGAAATTCAAATAACGGTACGTCCAAATAGTATATAATACGTTATCTTTCACAGGAAATATCTTTTATCGACCATACATGATTAATTATCCACATACAACAGAACCAACATACATGACAATCAAGAAATTAAAAATAGCTAGTGAAATGCAGAAAAACAGAGTCAATCACACTCCAAAAACATTGCCATCCACGTCGCGTTGCGTGTGAGCCTAACTCACATGTGCCATCGGATGAGATGGGGGTCGCCAAAACCCACTTGATCTGGCGGTGGATGTGAGCTGCAAGCCGGGTGAGCTCAATACTTATCTATTAGTTAATGCAATTAGACATCAACTTACATGGAATTTCGAGGTTTGGTAGCCATCAAGGGCTTCAATTCTGTAGGCACATTGACGAATGGAAGCTCCAATCTTTAGGTATTGCTTCCACGGATGACGAAAGCGGAACTGGCCGTGACGTGGTTCCCAACTCGCTAAAATTGCCTGACATTATCATCGTAAATCATGTGTCATTATTATGTGAACACAATTAAGTGACAATTCACATGTGTGAGCGTCGACTAGAAAAATTTGAGGAAGTAGTTGTACCCACCAGAGACTCTTCGTTGCTCTTCGTTCCGAGAACACTTTTATATCCTCGAACAAGCGACTTGTCTTGATTCGAGTCACCATCTTCTTCTGATTCTCTTAAGGATTCATCTCCAAATCCTGAAAGAAAGGAAAAACATATATTGCATTCAATCTTTTTCCCTGTAATTACAAAATGATGTATCTCTTTTGACATTGTTTTTAGGGTTTGGTGGATTTTCTTTCGCATTCTCCTTCATTTTTTGTCTGTATTTTGGAAGGATTTGTGTATGCCTTCCAAGAAGTTGGCAAGCTTTTCCATGTTGAGAGCGATGAGCCGGTGGAGGTCTTCGCCGGCCCAGACGGGACACACGATGATGGAGACGATCAGGCAGGCAGAGCCGCCAATGACGATGGTGGAGAGCCGCTGGTGCGCGAACTCCAGTATATCGTCCGCCCGGAAGCCCGACACTGACACCAGCGCGAACGTCAGTATGAATATCAGCATCCCGTAGTCGTACTTCGCCTTGATTCGCGGGAAGAACCTCATGAACGTCGTACCGGCGGCTGCATTTTGCAACATTATGTCAATCACCAGAAGAGCTCAATCAATTCAAACCCTGTTATTCTTCATTTCTTGAGTGCTTTTCTAATTCTCCTTAGTAAGTTAGTCACTTTACCTTGGAGAAAGACGAAGAAACTAAGCAGTATGGGCTCGACGGTTTTCCCGGAGAGACTTGCTAAGTGGCAAGCACCAACACCAAGTGCACCGGCAAGTAATGTAGCGAGTCCTCTATTCGACCCTTTACTTAGAGTGGCCCCTGAAAATGTTTTCTAAGTGGGTACATTTGCTTCATGAAAAATTAATGTTTCGAAAAATATTTTCCTAAAAGAGAAATGCTTATGTAACTGTCATTAATCTACTGTGAATATAAGAGTCGTGTTTTGGACCACTAAAAATAAATAACAGATCATTAGAAATTGTTGTGGAGTTCATTCATTCAAGAATTTATGACTCACAGCATGCTGTTATTCTAATAGTAGCAAAAAGACTGTTATACTAGCAAAGCCATTTCTAAAAATAATTGTTTATAACATTTGAAATAATTAGTTAATGAGAAATGTTATCATTGTCGACAATAATTTACGTGAAAACATTTTCATGAATGATAAAAATATTTTTGTTCATTCATTTTTGTAAGCAATACAAGCGATTAAATGTATATATGGTAGAATTTGTACCAAATTCAGTCCATCGTGGTTCAAGAAACAAAGTCCGACGAAGCACCGACTGTGGGTTTACAATAAACTTACCGACGTAGAATTCGAAGACGACCACCACGGTCATGATGGCCCAGACTGCGTTGTCGCCGAAGTTGTCGTAGAGTGGCTGGAAGTAATAGATCAACGACACTAAAGAAAGTGCAAACCCTACTTTGAGTGAATGAGTGGCTCGTCTTGGGTCATCTTGCCCAAGCTTCACTGCCTTCCTGGCCACCTCCACCGCTTTCGCCATCAAGCTCTTGGGCAAGCCCATCGACCGCCTCCATGCGCGAGCGAGGGCTCCAACTGTCTCTTGGCTTGTCGCAACACCCATTTCCAAACTCGCCATGGCTCAAATGAGTGAGCACAGACTCTGCATGCAGACAGAAGGGAGCAAGAGGAGAGGTGGGAGGCCTCTGTTGTGAGGGGGGTTGAAGTCTGGAAATGCCTTAGTCTGTGAAGGGGGTCTCAAGGGTCTCCTATTTATGAAGGAGAATAAGCATATCGAGATGGCAATGATGTCAAAAATTTCGTCTTGTAAGTTGCACGGTGGAAGTGCAATGTTGAAATTTGTAAGGAGGTCATTCCGAACCCCAGCTATTAAGGTTTCCCATTAAGAGCAGGTCACAGTTGCTCGAAAGAAGACAAATTAGGTTTTCATAAAGGTCCCCCTGGCTGAATAAAAAGGTTTAATAAACTCCCATCGCCATCAATTTTCAATCACCTCGATGCCTGTTTTTTTGAGATAATTGTCTAAAAAATGATAAAAATATTTTACGGCGATCAATTCAATTATAAGTTTTTGTCAATTTAGTCCTAAATATAGTTATTCCAGCAAATTTTAATCAGGAATCACTTATGTGGTTGTCGGTCGTCTTACGTAGTATGACTGGTACTGACGTTGACAGTTTTTGCAATTTTAAAAAAAAAAATTTATTGATTTTTTTTATTTTTACCTTTTCGTTTATTTTTTCTTCTTTTTACACAAGGTCAGTGATGAGACCCTGGGCGAGGGTTGTGGCCCTCGCCAGATTTGGCGAGGGCATCATGACCCTCACTGGTCATGTCACGTAGGACGGCCCTCCAAGGCTCTCGGAGGGGGTCGTCGGCCTTGTGTAAAAAGTATAAAAAATAAGAAAATAAGAAAAAATAACAAATTCAGTTAAAAAAATTCATAAGTGTGAAAAAAATGTCCACATTAGCATCTGCCATGCCATGTAGGCTAACCAGCTCCCACGTCAATAATTTTCAATTAAATTTTAGCCGGAATGACTATATTAACTAATCGTCAAAAGGTTTATGATTAAATTGACACAATTAAAAAAAGTTTAGAACTGAATTGGTCATTGTATAACAAGTTTTGGACTTTTTGGATAATTTTCCCATTTTATTCCCTAGCCTAAAGCAATTGGACTTTCTTGCCCTTCGATCCATTAATTTCGTTGCCCTTCGCTCAGATCTTGTTTCGAAAAAACTTTGTTTTTTGGGGTAATTTGTCTCCTCCTTTTTACCAAAATCGTTCGGGTATAACCGAAGGGCAGGCACCAGCGCTGCACCATGAAGGGGCCGGCGATCTCCACCAGCCCTTTTCCATGAAGGGCGACCGCGGCTCACTAGTGAGAGAAAAAAAAAATGCTACATCAGCATTTTCCATTAGCTAAATTGATGGTGTTGATGAGAAGACTTGATTGCATTTTTTGAAAGTTTTAGGACTTAATCGCACTTTTGCGACAAGTTTTAAAACTTTCAATAAGTCCTATTGTAATGTCAGTTTTAGGACTTAAAAGGAGTTTGTTTCCACTTTAGGGAAAATTACCAAAAAAAGTCTTGTACCTATTGTAATATCGATTTAGTTCTAAAACTTTCAATTTTATCATAAACATTTTAATGATTTAATAATGTAGTCCTTCCGGCCAGTTTTGACCGAAAATCATTGACATGGATGCCGACCATCCAACGTGGCACGGCCAGCGCTGAAATGGATAATTTTTACGATTTTTTAATTTTTCTGATTTATTTATTTATTTCTTTTCTTTTCTTTTCTTTTTCACTATGGCCGACAAGGGTTGCTTGAGCTCGTCGGCCGCTGGGCGAGGGCCTCGCCGACCTTAGTGGGATAAAACAAGAAAAGTAAACATAGAAATATAAATAAAAAATTTAGAAAAATTTGTCCACATCAACACGGCTCGTCGCAAGCCGTGTCATGTAGGATGACTAACATTCACGTCATCGATTTCTAATCGAAATTGGCCGGAAGGACTGTATTGACGAATTGTCAAAAAGTTTAAGACTAAATTGATCAAATTAAAAAGGTTTATGATTGAAATGGCATAGGACATTTTTCGTTATTAGCCCCTCACTCTATGATAGATTATTTCTAGCGTTAACTTCTCTCTCAAGTTCGAACCGTTTACGAAATCCGACCCGATCGGAGGATACTTAAGTGTCCAAGGAAAATCTTGGTTGAATTTTGATCTAATCAAAATCGATGTGATCTTCTTTTATCCAAGATTGAACGCGAGATTGGTTTTGGAAATAAAAGAATCTGATGACATGTTTTTTTGTGGACGAGGATTATTATTCTGTTGAAAGAAATTTCCAATTCGGCCAAGAGTTGGACTTCTTGCCAAAACCGTACAATGGACGTCAATCTTTGACACTTAAAATCCCTGCAAGTGGATTTCTTTTTCTTGGCACAGACAAGTCCTCCGCTGCCGTTGATGGTAAAAGAAAAGTGTCGCACCGTACAGGGTACGCTTCTTGCTGCTAGCCGTACGAAAAGCTCTTTGCATTGGGCTTCAAACACGCACGATTTTGTGCCATGAATTTTCCGACCAATTGAATTGCTTATCTATAAACACTTTAGGTTTAAACTTAATATAGATATGAGAAACACTCGAGCTTATGTGCAGTTGTAATTCTGATTTTCTAATTACATCGAATTGTTTACCGCCGACTCTCCCCGTGGATGTAGGTACCAACACTCAGACCGAACCACGTAAATTTTTGGTATCATTTATTGTTTCTCGTTTATTTCTCCGGTTCTCTCGCATTGACTCAATTTCACGTTCCCATTACAACATTCCAGTCAATCTCTAATGTACAATGGAAAGGAATCTAGAACGCAGGCGTGAACCATACCTGGTCCCCTCAAAACTTCAAAAAGAGGGTGCTATGCATAATAATAATGTTTCTAACGAAATATTTGACTTGGGCTGAGCTTAATGTAAATGTGTGTCTCATCCGCTTGACCTCCCGAATGTTCCGCAATGTGGTCTTTTGAATAAACTATATTGCAGAACATTGTCGTTTGCCTCGACATTGTACGCAATTTCAAGGTCGTGCATTGAATATAGTCTTGCTTGTCCACGTTAAATTGGACCAGGGAATGTGAAACATATTTAACATAGCTATACTTGGTCGGCACCTCAAACTACGTAGTAATTACTGGGATTTAACAAGTCCCTCGCTGATCTCGCCAATCGTATGTTAATATAACAAAAATGCCGATACGTTACGTAATTACGGAATGATGAAACTATATCCGTGTCACGGGTCTTCCGTACACGAAATGCGCGAGTCTCGAAGGGTATTGGCCCGTCGAATCGACTCGGTCCACGCAGGATCGGGTCGTTTGGTCTGGAATCGTGACAGCCAGCAATAGGCCACGCGAAATCCATCACCGTTGACGGTCATAATTAACTCGGTCCACGGCTCGGTCAGGATGGTGTGGGTTGGAATCATCACGGTTGGTGTGAGACCACGTGAAATCCCACCTCGATCGGATCTAGAAAGGTACCCGATCAGACTGGTTTCGAGGGAATGTTACAACATGGGAACATCTGGATAAGCGTAGGGTCCGGTGGTGGCTAACTCAAAAGAGTGCGGACAGTTGAAACAAATTAGACCTTCGAGAAAGGACCGATGTTTCAATAATCCAATGTATTTTTCTACAAGTGTCAACTCCCCTTTTCGCCGGGACAACAAAATGAAATAATTAATGTATCTAACTCCTCATTGGACATAAAAAAATATATAAAAGAAACAAGATTAAATTCATTGCTCAAACTTGGCAGGGTCTGAAGGGAACATGCTTTCTATTTTTCTATTAAGCATAAAGACTATGTTTATAGGCTCCATTTGTTTAACGGAAAAGGAAAATATTTTCCTACCAAATCTTAAATTCAAAAAAAAAAAATTCGATTATCATTTTCCAAGATATGATTAGGTATCGGCGCTTGGGCACAGGAACCCCAACACTCGTTCTCGGGCCCTTGATGGCAGGGTTGGGTCCCCAGTGCCCAAGCCTGGGTCCACCAAGGCCGGGGCCAGGTCCATCTAAGGATCGAGCTCTTCGGCGAGGCTTGACCTCGTCGGATTGGGCGAGCTTGAGCCTCACTAGCCCTCTCCTGAGGCTAGTTGACCGACAGAGAAAGAAAGAAAAAGAAAAGAAGAAGAAGAAAAGATAAAATAATATAAAAAATTTATTAAAAAAAATATACATGTCAATGCCGGCCGTGCCACGAAGAACAGCTGACGTCCATATTAGCAATTTTGGTAATTTTCATGCCCGAATAGTGTATATCTATTTAGGAAAACCAAATGATAGAAAATAATTTCCGGTTCATTTTCAGGTCTCAACCAAACACAGAAAAATATTGTCATTTTTATGGAGAATAACTTCCTAGAAAATATATTCTAAAAATTTCGCATTTTTCCACGAAAAAAACAAAGCCATAGTTTCAAAATATGAACTATTATCAACCTTTCTTTTTTTCGCCAACAAAAAGCAGAAAGCAATGATCAAATGTATAAGAATTAGACCTATCAAATGGGTGAGTCGGGTCGAAAATGGTCCGACCCATTTTGATCTCCATTTTTATCCTTTTCCATGCAATACAAATCCAGTGATCCATACCTGACTCATACCTAGCTCATATTGCTAAAACACTTCCGTATTTAATCAAACCTATGATAACTTAAATCTGTCAAATGGATGGGTTGGATCGAAAATGGCTAATTCGAATTGACCCATTTATACACAATATATTTTTAGCGACCCAATCCCAACCCAACCCTATTTCGCCGGAATTACTCCCGTAGCGAAATATAATTCACCAAACGTCGTTCTTTGGCTTTTAATGAAAAATGACCGGGTTCAGTGGCAACTTTGGATAGGAGATATCCAGACGAGAAAAGGAACCCACTCGTTTCAACCAAACAATGCAAATTCAAGCCATAATAATACTTGATCGACGAGAAACTTGAGTAAAATAACTAATTTAAACAAGTTCCACCGGCTGCTGACTGGCAACATCATTCTCCGATCTCATCGATACCATATTATGTTGCATCATTCTCCGATCTCATCGATACCATGTTATGTTGATGCTAAAATTAAGGCATAGATATATGCAGTTAAGGAAACTCAACTATAGTGCGGAAAGCTTAAAGATAAAAATATAGCATTTTGATTGTAATTTTTCCGAGGAGGGGGGGGGGGGGTTTGGGGTTGGTTTAGGTGTGGTAACCGTCTTGTGATGACACCTGTGTCTTATGATGACACCTGTCGACTCTCATCAGATAACCACCATCGATCTCATCTTCACTCTCCATTTTTTAGCTCCATGTTACCCACATCTTCAAGTAACCGTATCTATCATGTGTAAGACTGTATGTTCCTATCAATCAAGATTGAACCCTCGCGCAGCAACAGTTTCGCCGATAACTTTCATGACCAAATCTTCAAGCGGTAACTGTTCCCTCCTTGACTTTAGCTCTTTTCAAGTTTCAAACACTCAAAATTTCCTGCCGACATAATTGGCGGTTGCCAATTGTCTGTCATCGTATTTCGACAACTAAGTCTGCAGCAGGCTTATATTACCTTTTTGATCGATGGACATGAATTTTACTAGACATTATGCGTTATACACATATATTGTTTCTATTTTGGATATTCCTTAATTTTTATGGGATTTGTTTTACTGTCGACGACCTAAATTATTATTGGTGTCAACAGACCCAAACTCCAATTTTTAACAATTTTTCTTCTTACTTATCGCATCTGAAGAACAGACGACTCTTGGACCAAAAATAAAAAAATGAGCGGACAACTCTGTGGATCTGCTCACTAAGTTGGTGTGGGACCTCGGGTGCCCGATTGGGTCATGGGCTAGGACAGAGAAGACAAACGAACTTAATTGACTTATGAAGAAAGGCCGTTGTCTCTTTTGAAAATTCGGGACAAATATGTCATGAACATTAATTTAAATATTTTTTGTAAAATAAAAAAAAATTAGAATGAATATGTGATGGGTATCGGTTTAGGTTGTTAATGGTATGGATGATGTTTGTTCTTTAAGAAACTTAATGGCATGTGCAGTCGAGTCAGCTCTTGAGTTAACCCCACTACTCGTCGTATTTGGTTTGGTATTGCGACCGCGCATGACTTTGAGACCCAATGAACATCGCTTATTCTGGTGTTTATCGGTGGTGGTATACAATTAGTTTACGTACTAATGAAGAGTACTTGTAATGCCAAAAAAACGAGGAGGCTGAGCGTGAAGTCATCCCCAGCTCCAACACGAACTTCAGCTTCTTCTCTTCTTCTTCTCTTCTTCTTCTTCTTCTTCTGCCTCTCTCTCTCTCTCTCTCTCTCTGAAATTCAACCGCAGAGGAGAAATATGTAGACTCCAGATGACGCCCGCAGCGTCCGTGTCGACATTGCATTTTCTCGTCTTGGAGGTTATCGAGTCACTCGTTTTGCTTCTGCTCATTTCAATCGCTCCCCTGTGGTGACCGCGCGCGATTTCTTCCTCTAAGCGGGTTTGAGATGGGAACTGGATTCGAATCCGTCTGCACGTCGTTCTAGTCAATTCCGGGGGTTCGTTTGTCTTGTGCCCTGATGATTCGCCGCTCGCGATGTGGAATGGTTGGTCGTTTTAGTCAGTTCCGGTGAGATGCCATGGCAGCGTCGTCGGCTTGCTCGGCTGTGGCCTTGGTGGAGGATGAAGAACAGAAGAAGTAGTCTGAAAGGGTCATCTTTGTTGGCCCATTAAAGTTTAACCAACCCATAATATGAGTCATGGAATGGGAAAATTGTCCAAAAAATCATAAACATATTATATTTTTGCCGATTGAATCTTAAAATATTTAATTGTGCCAATTGAATCCTAAACATTTTCACTTTTTGCCAATTGAGTCCAACCGACCAATTTTGATCGGAATTCGCTAAAGTGGACGTCGGCCATCTTGCGTGGTACGGCCAGTGCTGACATGAACAAATTTTAATAATATTTTTTCGATTTTATATTTTTTTTTATTGTTTCTTTTCTTTTTTTTCCTTCCCTTCTTCCTCTAGTCGGTCCTCGGGCCTTAGACATAGACAACAACTAACCAGAATCGAGGGCCGGCGAGGTCGATCTCGAGTGAGCCTCGCCCACCCCTATCGAGGCTCGAGCTCATCGTCGCTGGGTGAGGCTCGAACTCACCAGATCCGGCGAGGTCTGGCGAGGTCGACCTTGTCTAGCGACAGCGAGGTCAAAGCTCGCCCTCATCAATGGTTGATGGGGGCAAGTTTCGCCAGAGGCTGATGAGGCCTTGCCTTTAGCCAAGGCTAGAGGAAGAAGAGAAGCAAAAAAATAAAGAGAAAGAAGAAAAAAAAAAGGAAAAATAAAAATATATATATCAAAATGGAAGAAATATCAAAATATTATTAAAAATATCCATGTCGGTGCCGGTCATGTTACGTAGGACAACCGGCATTTACGTTAGTGATTTTCGACTAAAATTTGCCGAATGGACTTAATTGATAAAACGTGAAAAAATTTAGGATTCAATTGATACAATTAAAAGATTTAGAACTGAATTGGCAAAAGTGCAATAAGTTTAAGACTTTTTGGATAATTTTCCCATCATACACCTCTAATCCGAAATGAAAAGCATTGGAGTACACAAGAGAGATCATATCATAGCAAATCACATCAACATTGAATGTGTCCAATTTTAATCTGCACAGTTTAGTACTTTCCCACAAATAATTTCATTCCCAGTCCCTCATAAGTTTATATATTTTTAACATATCGGGTAGTGGTCCAAAATAGAAATAAAAAATCCCAAATTAATGTTGAAGTATTGTTGAAGATGAGTTGTTTGTCACAGCTTTCGGAACGATGGATTCGAGAGTAAGTGAACACACCACCCCCTCATGGAACACAAACCTTTTAGAAATCATGTTCTCGTGTGATTGAACTGCGTTGGTCATTTCGATTCGTTTATGCACGTTCGATTGTAGAACTCCTATTTTGTTGTTCGAGAGAATGGCAATGATAGCACGATGATAAGGGCGATCATAAGCTCGCGATATGGTAGATTCCAAAGCATGAGATCATCGAATTGGTGAAGACGATTTTAGTTCGAGACAATCAATTCGTGATGTTAAAAGTTGATAAATCAATTGAATGGCGCACATTGGTTTGGCTTCTTTTCTTCCTCTCCCACTTGCTATGTATGTATGTATATATGAAAAAAGACAGCAAGCTATACGTACAAACACACACCAAATAACTTGAGAAACAAACAGGAAGGAGTGAATCCCCTACTGCTTCATCTAAGCCAAAAGATATACAGGTCTTCATCTGTCCTCGAGACATAACATTACATAGAAGAGAAGACCATCGGGGGAAGCAACATGAATTCCTCATTTTAGGCTCTATCTCCAGGACACAGTTAAGCACAAGCAACCACGCAATAAACAAAAAACTTATGTTACACATAATCTAAACCAGATTATTTTGCACCTGTCATTCATTGCCATCAAACTAAAATAGCATCTCAGTCACCTGCCTACTGAAAACTTCATTCCTGAGGATCACGATTGCGCGAAGGCATTAAACTCAATGCGGTTAAGGTTTGTGCTTGCACCTAGTAATCGGACTTTCCACCAAAAAAATAAAAATCGGACTTGCACGATGCCAATTCGAACTATATCATTTCTGATATCTAAATTCAGAGCATATACCTCCAGGTTTGACAGGCACCACAAGAACGTCATCCTTTTGCCTTTTCTGCCAGGCACATGGTGCTCCTGTAAAACTCATTTAACAATGGGAAAGATCTTTGAGGAGGGTGTTTTATATTTTAGCATTTTCAGTGTCCATTCAAAATGATCGCTTGTAGAATTCGCAAAGAGTTCTTTTTTCATCCCCCATTGCCTCATAACCTTTTGCTTCTCAAGTAAAATGTAGACCCTTGAGCGAAGCCACATAAGATCTCAAGGAGAACAAGTTGTCTAACATGACGTAGAGATTTTGCTTTCTCATTTTCTTTCCATTGAGAGAGAGAGAGAGGGAGAGAGAGAGAGAGAGAGAGAGAGAGAAGGAGAGGGAGCAATCATTTGAGAATGTTCAAATCCAAACAAGAATAGTGAAGAAATAGAGGTTACAAGAGTCCGCGGTACAGATTACAAGGAGTCCCACGTAGGTAAGGAACAGGCAAAACATTTTTAAGAGTGCCAATTCCGAACAAACATTTCATTTGATCATATGTCCAGCCCAGTAATGTCAAGTTCCCTCAGGAACAGCTGCAACAAAAATCAAACAAATGAATTGCAGATTTTCCCCGCCTATCCATATCGAATCGTTGAGCGAGAGGAGCAGATCAGTCATCCTAGAAAGCCCTCCCGCTACCCTATCGTGGGTCAACCGTTGAGCAGTTAAGCCACTTAACAACAGCTGGACAGATTTGGGCTGGAGTCCATGTTAGTCATTGCAAGCAAGAACCAAGCTCGCTCTCAACACTTGCCAGACCAAAGAGAATATATAGCAGGTGGTCACTGCACAATCTTGGGCATAGCAGCAGCCATACAGGGCTGGACCATGGGAATTCTCTCCATGGCAGTGTCCTGCACTGGACTGCCCTTGGCAGTTTTCTCCAAAAGAGGAACGAGTGACATAAATATCTCCATCCTCGTCACATCTCGATTTGCCTGCAAAAATTTGCAATAGTGAAAAAGACAGCGCTTAATGTACAAAGGAGGAGATCCTCTCATAGGCGGTAAGAATGAGTTCAGACTGATGATTGGAAAAGGGATGATTCGTTTAAACTTGAGACACGCCAACTCCACGTTTATAAGTAGAAACTCTGTAATATGCCAAAGGACGGAAAACAATAGTCGGGCAAGGGCAAAGTGTTAAATTAGATGATCACCTCCACAGCAAATTGTGCCCAAATCTTGTCATTCCGGGCTTCCACCACCCCCTTAAGAATGGTCAATCCTAATCCTCGGATAATGTCAGCTATCTCTAGAAAGTAACCCCGTTCTTGACAAAGCATCTGTTGCAAACCTTAACATAAATGAGGCAGATATCTGGAATTCTTCAGACAGAATTAAGTAAATAGGAGATCACAGTCGATACCTCTACAAGCATCTGACGGGGTGGGTTAAGATCCTCGACAATGATTGGGCAGACCATTGACTGTGAACCTACTTCAAATGCCCATGTTGCTCCGCCCTCAAAATTGTCTTTCAAAAGCAATCCACCTTCTCTGTCAATGATCTGCATCTTAAGACAAGAAACTCGTGAGCTACCTAAGGTGATCTTTTCATGCAAAGATAGATTGCCAAAAGGCTGAGAAATCATAAAAATCATAATCTATCCACCCACAATTCCCAGCATACTCCAATGCAGAAAACCGAGGAAAATAGGTATAACATTTTACTTGGACATTGGTGCCAAGAGGAATCAATTCTGAGAGAATAGCGATTGTTGCCATCAAGCATTTCAATGTTTCCTTATTTTAGAAGGGCCCCATCCACACAAACGAGTGTGCATGCACAAGAGAGAGAGAGAGAGAGAGAGAGAGGTGGGGGGGGGGGGAGCATACTTTGGATTCCGCAGTTTGTTTTAGCTTGTCAGCATGCTTCGTGACACCCTGAAGGAAAAGCATGTGCTTGATGGTATGTTCCAGCAGAGCATCTATACTACACTGTTGAGGCCCAAAGCAGTTGAAGTTATTTAGGCATCATAATGTGAACATCATAAAGATTAAACAGTAGATATCGAATAGTGGGAAAATAAGTAAAAAGAGCATTACTTTTGCCCCATTGGGTACAATTTCCCGCAGCTCCTTTACACGATCTTGAATCATCTGGCGGTCCTTTGGCCTGGGTCTTGGATTCTCTCCAGGTTTTAACCTTTTACGATTTGATTTTATCCGTTCATCAGGCTTCTTGGAATAACCAGTGGAGACACTACTGTCACGCTTCATTGCATGACTCTGCTCAACCCAAGAACTAATCTGCGATCCACAGAAGGAATGACTGCGTGTTCCCTCCTTGCTCTGGCCAGATATGAAAGAACAAGGGGCTGTTGTCCCAACCTTTTCCAGAGGCTTTGGGAATCCAAAAGACTCCCGTTGCACCTTGTCCAGCACACTAAAGCAGCTATAGCTGGAAGAACTACTAGGGACACTGGAGCTACTGACGTTTGTCAATGTCATCTTACAGGATACAGCATCATCTGCACATTGCTTCGGAGCTCTAGTAACCACAGCATCTAAAAGATCACCACCTCCGGCACCAGCCCCCAAGAAAACACCACTTTCTGAAAAGCTCTCACTAGTTGAGTATAAAGCGGAACCAGAGTCCTGCTTTAACACTGAAATCAACGTTTCCTTGCCCATCTTCCCAGGGCTCCCATCAAGCCCGCCACCATTTACTTTACCGAAATTGCTGTTTAGTATTTTATTTTTGAATTCCACACCCAATATGTCAAATAAATCATCTCCTGATGAATTATGTGAAGTTTCTTCCACAAACCTAAAATTTGTGCTATTACGCTTCTCATAAGCATGACGAGACTGGGGAATGAGCTCCTTCACTGACACATGCTCATTTGAATCATTGAAGGCTCCCGCGAGAGCACTTTCCATCTGCAGTTGCCCAGAAGGAAAATCAATTCCAGTAGCTTTCATGTCCATGGGATGATTTGTCTGATTTGAGCCTCCTGAAAGCAAATGGCTCATTTCAGTGGTGGTACGGTCATCTACACTCAGTAAAGGGATACCCTCCAAGTTTGATGAATCACTCCCACGGACCTTGACCTCATCCATATTTGTGAAAACCGGTCTTGAAATTTCCTTTAGTTGACAACTCATTCCATTATTGACCCCATGCAATGGAGTTATGTCTGAAACTTTATGCATATCAATGTGCCCTGCCCCATTTATTCTCAATTGAGAAGTGCCACAGCCATCTAATGCACGACTCTTTTCAATGATAAGGTTTCGAGCACAGACATCTGAATATAAATTCATCTCTGTCGATATCATGTGGTTGCGGGTAACACCTGATTGGCCAAAACCACTTCGATGATAAGATTCTGTCCTTACATTAGACAAAGCAGCCTGCTGGTGCGGCCATACCTCAAGTGTACTGCAAACTGATTGGGATCCAACATCTTTAGCTCCAAGTTGGCCATGGGATTCGAGCAAACTCAATGGCTGGTTAGAAGTCTGAAATCCTAAAGCAGAGGTCCAAGGACTATCTTGAACTCGTGTTATTTGAGAACAAGATTGATGATTAGCGAGGCCTGACAAATTAGCATTGGTGCTCATGACCTTACCATTTCTAGATAGATTTGCAACAGGCATTCCAAGAGAAACAGCTAATTTGGCTTCATACGTGTCAGAACACACGGAACCCGGGACAAACCCTAGTTGCAGGATCAAACTCCTCACTTCATCCACAAATCTCACATTCTCCATAATCTGAAGGGACACCGACCAATAGATTAGAAATGTATGTTCAAAGCAACCATTACCATGCACAACTTGCTTCTTGGAGAAGTAATTGAGCCATTGATTAACCAAGTAAAGAAGAAGTTTCTATATGATCTAGACTGCAAGAACCTCAAGAAAAGAATCCTCCTTCTGACTTATGAACTCTACACGAAGAATTTGCCCGCATTAACAAATGTAAAATTACATCGCCCACCTACCACTATTTCTTCCCAGACTGTAGCTTTAATTTCCAGGCTAGAGGTTGGGCTAGCAAAAGGTCAAAGATTTTTCAATTGCCCAAATTTATGATTCTTCATGATAAGTAGCATTTCTTAACAATAGAATAAGAACAAATTCTCACATGCTCATGGAGAAGAGAGAACCTGTTGTACCACAACCAACAAATTTGCACTCAGAAGCCATGTTTGAATATACGAGTGCTCCATAATTAGTTCAGCTCTAAAAGAGATCTCGTTAAAAGTGACATTTAATTTGTTTACTAACTTATTAACTGCCTTCTGGAAGTCCAGTGACACCGACTATAACTGTTACAGTCCACAAAACTCAATATGAGAATACTAGAATCCTGCTTAAGATATGCTGCAAGAAGTTCCAAGACAATCACAGAGCCAATGACAAATAACGAAAGATCAAATAATGCTCGCACTGAAGTTGATGAAAGCAAAGCAGCTAAACAACAGAAGTGGGAGGCAGTTCTCGGACGTCACTGGGAATTATAAGTTGTTCAGAAGGAAGACTTACGTGTAAAGAAGAACCGACTTGTATAACTCCATGCAGAGTGATTGGAATGACCGCAACTGTCTGTGGACCACATAAAAAGACAAAATCATAAACAAACATGAAAGAGAAGAACATCCGAGGATATATAAAAGAATGGGTTACCTGCATTCCAGCCGAAAATTGGTGAAGCATCTCATTTTGTACCTTGAACAACCAAAATGCATTGACAAAAAACGAGTCAGATTAGGTTCAGTTATTTTTTGGTTTCGAAAACTTATGTTCCAATTCTAAAAACAGAACAACCTTCCCATGTTAATTAATTTTCTAAATGTAGGAAGCCATATGCAATCGAAATGCAACAATACCCATCGGAATATTACAATATCTTATGAAATAGAAGAAAAAGAATCTGAAGGGAGATATCTCTGATCACATTAATTGCCCAATACAAACATCCCTCTCAAAGTGCTAGAAATTGAAGAGAAAAAAGATGCGCAAACTGTAGTATGCCACCATAACTTAATTATTGATATCCTCACTCAACTCCATTAAAGAAAAAACTGTCACCAAAGGTGTGTATTCACTCCAAAATAATGGAAAACATACATGATTAGACTTCCCTATTCTCCGTGACAGTTACTCGTTCATTGATAATATCAGCAGATTTTAGGGTGTAGAATTTTGATAAAAACTCAAGAACGTAAACCATATTTTCCAAGGACCCAACTCAATATGTACTTTCCCATGTTCGAACAAAATTTCTCAGAGTCCATCTTTGTCATACCTCGAGTGGATAGGCATCCCCATTATAACTACTTGAAAGTATCCACTGATGATTTCCTGTGAACGCAGCTCGTCCTATTATTCTGAAAATATAGTAACCAACATTGTACACACTCAACTGACAAAAATGAGGAAAGCAAGCAAAAGTAAAGGAAAAAGCAGACACAGAAACTGATGCATACCCTTCCCCTACAATATTGATCTGATTTTTTATCATCATCTTGTCAATCAGTGACTGAATTTTATCCGCTGCATGATTCTCAGGCCTAGCAAAGTGATTATCAGGAGTGACCAGGCATCCATCAAACTCCCCCATTGGTACTTTGCCAATCACAGATCCAGCAGTTGGAGGAGGAACACAACATCGTAGAGGCTCATAGTAACATTCTTCCCATATTAACAGCCTGCAATGGATATGTACGTTTCTCAAATTCAACAAGGGGGGTAAGTGATGACATGTCTCAAGCTCGTGTTAAGAATTTTAAAAATGTTTACAACAGAAATTCAGTTTTCGTGCTAGAGATAACACAGACAAAAAATGATCAAGGGAAAAAGGTGCCTCAGTCTCGTCTCAGAAACTTGATATAAGTTCCGACTCCCTTCCCAGAACTACAAGTTCACAATATGCACATTGCTTGGAACAATTTTTTTCCTAATTATTCTTGAAACAGCTTTTAGAATAAGTTCTTTGCTCTGAAGTCTGAACAGCCAAAAGTCAAATGGGTGCCTGGTGGACAAATTTAATGATTCATCTTGACAATTTTCCTCAAATTATTTGTCTGAAGCAGCAGTGATTATACAAACAAATTAATATCTGGTTGGCGAATCCTTCCTGATAATTAATTCTTGAGCATTGTTATCATAATTACACGGTCTCTACTAGTTCGATAGATGCAACTAAGGAATCATTTACCTCATCATATGACAAATTCATAAAGTTTGAGAATTAATAAATTTCAAGTCATGGTATGTCACAAAACTTTCGCTGCTACGAACGAACTTCTAATATAAAATTTGCAATCAGCCGCATCTACTTGGATGTAGAAACTTTTTATTCTAGCAATTATTTTTACAGAAGGAACCAACTGGCCAGTATATAATTGTCTACGGCAAGTGCAGATCATAACAGGCGCACAGTGAAAGCACATAAAACTTGTTTTCATCTATTTGATTGGATCTTCATCCAAACCAGAAAATTCCAAAAAATTAGGAACGACAATATTACCATGTCCCACAAGATAGTCAATGAGAAATATTTTCCGAAGATAAAGATTAAACAAACCATAGACTAAGAAGACTTTAAGCTGCACATGCATATCACATCCTCTTTTAAAAATAGAAATTTTTAGGACTCAGTTTATTGGACTGCTGCGTCGAAATCTTTGACTTTTCCAGCATACCCACGACGACAAGCAACGAAAGGTCTGAGAATTCCTACATTGTGATCGACCCAAAAAAGAAAATAGAAACATCAGTGTCACAAACTAGAAAACAAGACAAGCCTAACGCAACCACTTTGACAGTTTGACTCCACCTTCAACGCTCAAGGGGCTCAACACCGACAACGAAATCACTTCCGATTACAGAAATCTCTTCTTTTATCTATATTTGTTTCGAATGCAAATAGAAAATTCATCAGAAAATGGAAGTATTTCGATTTGTTGAATGTTTTCGTCTCAGAAAATTAGCAAGTTGCTGTTTTTAATATTCTCCGATAGAGGAAAAAACTCGAAACTCTATCAAGGGTGATGATCTTTCATGCAGTTTTTTTTTTTTTTCGGAAAAAACAGCTGGAACAGAACTCGCAGCCAGAGTTCAATTCATGCATATGGGAGATAATGAACCGCTAAGGAAAAAGTTCGAATTTTCCCGGTGATTACGAGGCCGCAAGAATCCTCTGGCAACCAAACAGTCGCCGAAACTCCGGATTGAAGCCAAAAAGGAAAGCAGGAGAGCGAAGACGGACTTACTTAGGATTTTGGCAGCCGAACTTCCAGAACACGGCGTACGACCACTGATTCACACCGCAGATCGTCTTGAGAGCTTCTTTCAACAGGTACCCCATCTCGCCTCCGAGCCCCAACGAAGCTCCAAACAGCAAAAGGGCGCCGAGGGTGTGTCACGACAAAGCAACGCGCGGGCGCGGGCGCGAACCAAGCATGCACCAGCAGACAGAGGAAGGGAATCGAAAGGGGCACTAGCGGGGGGGGCCGGTGCTCGGCGGGGGCGCGAGGGTCTAACTGCCACGGCACGACCCTCGTCCCGCTTGCTTCGTCCTCAGCCCGCCGCTCCTCTTCCTCTCCGGCTCCAAGTTCCCGGACATCATGCTCCGGCAGGCCATCTCCGGCGAAAAGTCGGAGAGAGAGACACACACAGAGAGAGACAGAAGAGAGGGAGGGAGGGAGGGAAGGAGAGAGAGAGCGAGAGGGGGTGAGCTGGAGAAGGGGAGGGAAAGGAAGGGAAGCGCCCAGAGAGCCTAAATGATGCCGAAGGCTTCGAGCTTGTACATGGCCATGATCTGCTCCATCTTCGCCGCGGACGGAGAGTTCCTCGGCCAAGCGACCAGCTCTAAGCCACTGTAAGCACTACCACACAGAAACAGAGACACAGAGAGAGGGGTGAACCGGCGAGCCAGTGAACAGTGAACCAGTGACTCAGGTCTCTCGCTCGCTCGCTCGCTCGCTCGCTCGCTGCTCCGCTATCGCTGTCGCTCCGATCTACGCGCTTGGCCCCCCCGATATGTTCTCTGATGCCTCCCCCCCCGAAAACACCAAAAGTGCGTCCCTAATAAGAACGCCGGGAGGGAGGAGGGGGAAGAGAGAGAGAAGGGTCGGGGGTTTGTGAAAGGGGGCGCGGAGTTGGGCGATAATTACGGGAAACTGCCACTGAGGGCGGGGGTGAGGGCGGGGGTGCGGATATTTTAAAATGACGGGCGGGTGAGGGAGGGGAGGGGAGGGGAGGGGGAGGAGGATCGAGATGGTGGTGGTGCGGGTTGCCGTCGTGCTTGCGTCATCCGATCCCCCCGAATTTGCCAATTTTTCCCGGCTCAAGAAAAACCCAATGGCTGATGATAATAAGTCTGGCGATTTTTAATTTTAATGCGGATCTTAATTACACTTACTTATAAGTATGGAATATTGTGTATTGATTTTGTCGATGCCACGTTGGTGTCCTTCTTAGTTTGGAATGAGAATTTGACGGGGTGCTTAGAGGCGCGAATGATAACCAATCTATCTCGCCGTTTTTCATTTTTTTATTTTTGTTCTTGAAAACAGGTTTGGAACAGAAATTCAATTGGTAAAATAATTTCATTTCTCTATTTCCGGGACAAATTTTTAGCACAGAAATAGGTTTGAAACAAAAATGGAAAGCGAAAATTTTCTACTTTTCTCTTTCTGGAACAAAAACAAAAACGATAACTCTCTTTTATTACTTGCCCTCATCGCATGCCGCTGGCCCGCCGCCGCCCGCCTCGCTCGCCCCGCCGTTGTCCATCCCCACCGCTCGCCGGCCGCCGACCATCCTCCATCATCACTTTTCGGCTGTTCGCCACCTGCCTGCACGCCAACCAGCTATCCACCTCCGCCCGCCGGGAACAGAAATTTAAGATTAACCTATCAAACAAATTTTTATTTTGGGAACAGAAATTTTGTGTTGTTATTAAACACTACTATTTACTCATAAACTTGTCCAGGAAATACTAATCAGAAATAGGGCTGGGGAAAAGAAATTTTATCATTCACGTCCTAAGTATCACAATGAAATATACGAGATCTAATATATCAAAGAAACATAGTTAAGGGAGTAAAACCGAACACTTCCAGTAGAATTATGGGGATGCAAAGTGTAGTTTTGTTAATTTTTCTTTTTTAGCGGAGATTTTTACGAGAGGATTTAAATCTTAGCTTGAGAACAAAACAGTGACTAGGATAATAAAAAATAATCTGAAAAATCCAAGAACTGGAAGTGCGATTTCTCCTTAAATTAAACAAGGGTCAGTTTAAGTCCTCGAAATTAAATCATAAAATTCAATATCATTGGGATGTATGCGCGCCGAATGTCCAAATATAAAGTTGTGTTATGGTAATCTTCTATGACAAAGAGAAAGCTTGTGGTTAAGCTCTTAATAACATCAATATCTCAATTTAATATATATTTAGATAAACAACTAAACTACGACATAAACGATTCAATCTCTTGTCCGCACACCAATCCACTTCAGAAATCCTTTGCTAATCTCCAAGTTTTGAAAGTATTTAACTCTAACTCACCGACTATCAAGTTGAAGAATTCACGATGTGTTTCATTTGCTTGCGTCGAAGCCTTATGGATTTACTTGAAACCCTAGTTAGTCCCAATGCTAGAGCATATCTATAACTAGCCCAATGAGCATTTTCTTTGCACCTAAACCAGATTATCCAGCATGAGCTACGTACAAATTAACTTTCCTAGGAAACAATCACGCATGCTCTGGCTAGTTATAACCTCCAATGAATGGTTAAACACGAGAGCCAAACTCCACGATGTTCTCAAAGACTTAGAATCTTTTTCAGCTTTCTAATCTTTGAAATTCTGTCGATGATCAAAAAGGAAAAATTTGCAGTAGTTCACGCACTAACTTTTCTTCCAAAGAGCGAGACCAGAGCTTGAAATCAACTTTTCAATAAAATTTACTCAGCAAGCATTTCGATAAGCCTTTCTTTGACCCTTTACCAAGAATAAGACAGCTATTTCATTCTTCTGTCGTTTATCCATTAACTTCGGGAAAAGGAGAGTCTGCTTGGTGATTAGTGATTATTATCCTACTCTTCCCTGATGTGCTGTTCTTTCTCGCGCAAGTAAAGCTGTGCGGGTCATGTGCGTGTTGAGCCCATAAAAACGCCACTCACTCCATGAAAGTAGAACGACTTTAACCCTAATTCCCAGGTACAGGAAAGGGAGCAAAAGCCAGCCATTGTTTCGTTTCGTCTTCGAGCTTGGAGCTTTTTCTCTGCATGTCCGCAGCTTTTTGTTCGCTTAATGCTCTCCCACTCGATTTGTTTTTTGGCTGTGGCTTCTATGGCTCTATGCAATCATGTGTCCTCATTATATGCCTACAAAGTCCAAGACGAGAATGGGGTTTTCTTATTTTATTTTGGTTGGGGACAAAATAGATTAGGGTTTGCCATCGCATCATGTTGTTTTTTCTCTCTAATTTTTGCGGTAATTTGATGGTAATTTAGTTACTTTTCTTGTAGCTAATGAAATGGAAGAAATTAAAAAGAACATTTTTCGTTATCTTTAAAGAAGTTGCGTAGTTACCGTGTACTTATGTCAGGAGTTTTTTTTTTTCAAATATACTACGACCACTTGATTGATATATGGTTATTATTAATCGTTGAGACATTATAAGAAGTTTCATGGCACTAATAAAGCACGCACTTTTTCCATATTATACCATTCAAATTACCCTCTCTCTCATTTTTCATTCCTTTTATTCTTCATTTTATGTTTTTTTGGCTATTTCTATTTCGTTTAGTAAAAAACCCTTTTAGAATCAACCTGAGATGATTCTCATCAATGGCGATCAAAATCTATGCAGATCTAATTCATTATTGTCAAATCCGACCCAATCTTGCATGTGTGTTTTCCGTTTATCTTTCCTTGTGTGTTATAGAATTGACATTCAAGTCGTTAGGAAAATTTAAAGTAAAATATGAAACTCTAAAAGCTTCACGTAAGGATTTAAAAAATATGGGATCTTGAATAGTATGGAAATGACAATTCATTTCTCTTATATGCTTTATGTTTACGTGACAACGTTCTGTTATTTTCTTGTAAAGTTTTCAAATAGTGATCAGGTATGACTCTTGTTGGCTGATGTGGCAGTTGTGGTCCTATCTCTTTCAATAAACTATGAGATAATGTATAATATTTATGCATGGACCCATTTAAACTTTTTTAGCTAGGTATTGAGAATTGAGATGCTTCTGTTCTATACTCATTTCTTTTGCAAAAAGGTAAATAAATAATTGACAAGTAGTCAAAAACAATGAAAGATTCACATGGTGGGTGGACTGTTTGGACCGGGGATGAAGAGGTCTTTGAATATAAAAGATCAAGTGGGTCTTGTAAGTTGCAAAAGCTAATAAGGAATAATAGTAATGATTTATTTAGAGTAGGGTTGGTGACTGGTCTCTCATCTGAGTAAAATAAAGAAGTTTGTATGGGATGCATGAAAAGATGGAGCCCCAGTTGGAATCACATGAGGATATTGCTTCTTTTGGGGTCTTTGTTTGCATTATTTTTCTTTAAGATCAAGTGTCTCAAGTGTTTAAATATGGTTTGGAAAAGCGGGTAAATAATTTATGTTAAAGAAGATAATAAACATTGATTTCTTGACAGAGTTTTAGTCATGCATCTTGCTCGATGCATATATTCTAGAGTATACTACATCGAAGTTAGGTATTATATTATAGGACCATCACGATATCTATGATAAATGGGAAAATTGAAACAAAGGCCGAAGAAATATTGGATGGCAGTACACACACGTACCTTTTTTCTCTTTTGAACACATGGATTGATCAGTCTAGTAAATCTTGCTCTAGAGGGGCCCATTGTATACGATGCGTGTATGCATAATAGAACTCATTTGTTTTGAGGCCATTTAATTGAAATTTAATATATTAACTAATAAACCGATTTTTGTAGATCAATTTTAGTAAACCTATCACCCTTCCCGATAAAAATGCGTTATTTTCTCACGTTTCATAATGTAAGATCATTTTAGAATTACGGCAAAAAATTGAAGTAGACATCAGCCCACTCATCATTTGATCAGGTTTGATTGTAATCTTTTGCCGGTCGATCGGACTTTTGAGGTGGCAATTAAATAAAAAAAAAAAGAAAAAAGATTAAGATAGGACTATTGAGGTGTCTTGTGTTGGTGCGAATAATATAAGTTTAAAAATCTCTAATGTTCTGGTTCTTTTGCTATTAATTATGCTATAAATGATCTAGTTATAAAAGAATGATAAGAAATTATCAAAAAAGTCATAAACTTATTGTACTTGTGCCAATCCAATCATAAACCTTTTTAATTTGGCCAATTTAGCCATAAACCTTTCAATTGTACCAACTTAGTCTTAAACTTTTTGAAAATTTGTCAATTTAATCCTTCCGGCCAATTTTTGCTGGAAATCGGTGACATGGCGGTTTAGTCAATGCTGGTCTACGTGGACCATTTTTTCAAGTTTTAAAATTTTCTGAATTTTTTATTTTTTTTCCTTATTTTCTTTTTTTTTCAACCATGGGCCCGGGAGGCCCCGCGACCCTTGCCTAAATTCGAGGTGGGGGTCACAACCCTCACCCATCGGCCAGTGAGGGTCGCCAGCCTAGGGTTGGAAACAAAAGAAAAGAATAGAAGAAAAGAAAAGAAACATAATAAAAAATTCAGAAAAATTAAAAAAATTATCCACATCAGCCTCAGCCATGCTATTTAGGATAGCCAACACTCTGGACCGCCATATCAGCAATTTCTAGCCAAAATTGTCTAAAAAGATTAATTAGTAAACAAGAAAAATATTTATGATTAAATTGGCAATTCGTCAAAAGATTTAGGACTAAATTGACACAATTGAAAGATTTAGAACTAAATTGGCAAATTGTCAAAAGATTTATGACTAAATTGGCCAAATTGA